CCCCAATGTCCTCCAAGCTCTCTCAGAGCCATGCATGCTGACCTTTAAAACTCTAGGCCTGGGACTAAGCCTGGGTGGCTCAGTCGGTTAAGCATCTGCCTTTGGCTCAGGTCATGATCCCAGCATCCTGGAATCGAGTCCTACATCGGGTTCCTTGCTCAGCCAGGAGCCTGCTTCTCCCTCTGCCTGCCGGTCCCCCTGCTTGTGTTCTCTCTCTCTGACAAATAAAATCTTTTTCAAAAATTAAAAAAAAAACCACAAAACTCTAGACTTTAAGTCCCATTGGTAGCAAGAACTCATCAAATTTAGGCCCGCTCGCTGTCCAAACCAGTTGCTGTGATAATTCATTTTCCCCATGTGCTCCCCTGTGTGCTAGTCGGTCTCTCACCCTTCTCTGTGAGTACAGCTCCCTCCCCACTACAGGGGCCATGATCAGCTGCTCTTCCTATCTGTGTCTCCACATTTTCTTCGATGTGGCCTCTTTACCTTTAGTTGTAGAGTTCAACTAATCTTCAGATATATTTCTGGGGTATTTTAGGATGATTTCATAATTATCTAGTTGTGTTCGTGGGACCATCTAGCCGTCTTCCTTTGTATCCAAAATATATATATACTGTCCTTTCTTTAATCATGGTTTCCTTTAGCTATGTCTATAATGGACGCTTTGAAGTCTTAGTTTGTTAAACCTGACATCTGAGCCCTTTCCCAGGCAATTTCTTTCTTTCTTTTTTTTTTTTAAGATTTTATCTACTTAACAGAGAGAACGCAAGAGAAGGAAAACAGGCAAGGGGAGTGGGAGAGGGAGAAGCAGGCTTCACGCAGAGCAGGGAGCCCGCTGTGGGGCTCGATCCCAGGACCCTGGGATTATGACCTGAACCGAAGGCAGACGCTTAACGACTGAGCCATCCAGGTGCCCCTCCCAGGCAATTTCTGTTGCCTCCTTTTTTCACTGTATGGATTTCGCTCTCCTGTTTCTTTTCCTGTTGTAATTTTTTGTTAAAAACTGAACACTTACCTTATATAGTGTAACAGTTCTGGTTACTGATTCCCATCCCTCCTTTTCTAAGAGTTGTTTTTATTTTTGTTTACTTACACATTTGTTCAGTGACTTGCCTATGTTATTTTAGTGAAATCTGTTTCCCCTATAGTGTGATACTTTGGGGTCACATCTCAGAAGGTATAGCCTTGGGCATGTGCAAAGACACTCTAGGATGATGGTGGTGTTAGAAGGGCTCTCTTTGTCCATTTCCTCTACCTCTTTTTTAAGTTGTCTGTCTTGTTTGGTATCACATCTATTGATTGCCAACGGATTGCGTTATTGTTTTTGACAATGCCTGGAACATAAATTGCTCCACTTTATGATCTCATTGAATTCAGGCAGGGGTAGTTTTTGAGGCCAGTCTTTGAGGTTTCTTCTGACTTCTTTCTCTTTAGTTGTCTTTTTTCCTGATTCTTTTTTTTTTTAAGATTTTATTTATTTATTTGACAGAGAGAGACACAGCGAGAGAGGGAACACAAGCAGGGGGAGTGGGAGAGAGAGAAGCAGGCTTCCCGCCGAGCAGGGAGCCCAATGTGGGGCTTGATCCCAGGACCCTGACATCATGACCTGAGCCGAAGGCAGATGCCTAATGACTGAGCCACCCAGGCGCCCCAAGTTTTAGTAGGTTTTCTTGAATAAATGGTTCTTCATTGCTTTATGCCCTTAGGGTAATTTCCAGAGACTGAAAATTTAAAAACAAAAAACAAAATTTTCACCAGTTATGCCTGTTTTACTGGGAAGCATCCATAGAGTACCTCATACTGCTATCTCAAAGTAGAATTCCTCTCAAAACTTGACACTCTTTTACTACATGTTCGTTTTATATCCCAGTTTGAATTATTATGTTTTATTTTTTTTCTTGATTTAGGCTTGACAAGTATTTAATTTATTAAAATGATCAAGATAACTGTTTTTAGAGATTTATATCTATATAAATGTATATATGTATAACTTTAATATTTATATTAAAGTATATAATATAAAATTATAAAATTATAATTACAATAAATTATAATATCATTACAATAAATTATAACATAAAAGTTATTTTATAACTGTAAATATTTATATTTATAACTTTTTTAAGTGTAAATTTAATTTGTTTTTACATTTACCAACTCATATATACCAGGTAATTTGCTCCAAAGTTATTTTAATGATTATTCCCTCACTCTTTACCTAAAATCTTAAGTACTAGTTTTTGTAAGTTTATTTGGCTAATTTGGCTAATACAATATTGGGTACTGACAGAAAAAATACTTTATATCTGCTTTTGCTCCTAGATTGTACCAGATGCTAGTTTTCTACATCTGGTTTTGTTTTCAGTCTTCCCTACTGCTCAATCTGACTTCTGTCTGCTTCTCCAAATCAGGATCATGTCCCATCATCATTGGCCTTTGATTTTTTTTTTCTGGTCATGATATTTGTCCTGTAGTTTCCCATCATTGGTGATTTCATATGCTTTCAACCTCAGCAAGAGAGGTTTCAAATGCACAAGTGTGTCCAGTTGTCTGTCTTGAGTCAGGGGATATTTGTGGGATTCTGAGACTCCTCCTGCTAAGTTGGAGAAAAAGTGTAATGACACTGCTTGGGCTACAATCCAGCTCTTACCACATATGAAGCTTTATGACCCTGGAAGAGTTATTCTTAACCCTGGTCTCCTTACTTTTCATTTTTATTTATTTATTTACTTATTTTTAAAGTTTTTTTTTTTAAGATTCTATTTATTTATTTGAGAGAGAGACACGCACAAGCAGGAAGGGCAGAAGCAGAGGGAGAGAGAATCTTTTTTTTTTTAAAGATTTTTTATTTATTTATTTGAGAGATAGAGAGCATGAGAGGGAAGAGGGTCAGAGGGAGAAGCAGACTCCCTGCTGAGCAGGAAGCCCGATGTGGGACTCGATCCCGGGACTCCAGGGTCATGACCTGAGCCGAAGGCAGTCGCTTAACCAACTGAGCCACCCAGGCGCCCCGGGAGAGAGAATCTTAAGCAGATCCTTTGGGCAACACGGGGCTCGATCCCAGGACCCGAGTATCATGACCTGATCTGAAACCAAGAGTCGGATGCTTTACTGACTGTATCACCCAGGCACTCCTTAAAGATTTTATTTTTAAGTAGTCTCTATACCCATTGTGTAGTGAACAATCCTAAGATCAAGAGTCACATGCTCTACGGACTGAGCCAGCCAGGTGCCCCTCCTTACTTTTTAAATGGATAAAGTAGCCACTGCATAACCTTACCAGGTTATTTTAGAAGTTAACATATCTAAAGAAATTATTACAGTACCTGGTGTATAACTACTCAGTAGATGACAGTGATGATAATGTTGATGGTAGTAATGATCATAGATCATAGAGACAGTGTCTCAGAAACACTAATTGCAGGGGCGCCTGGGTGGCTCAATCAGTTAAGATCTGACTTTGGCTCAGGTCATGATCCTAGGGTCTTGGGATAGAGCCCTGTGTCAGGCTCCCTGCTCAGCGGGAAGTCTGCTTGTCCCTCTGCCCCTCCTCCAGCTCATGCGTGCACACACACACTCTCTCTCTCAAATAAATAAATATAATCTTAAAGAAAAAAAAGGAACACTAATTGCAATCCAGCCTTTGGTGATTTTCATTTGTATTTCCCATTTTGTCTATTTCATTTGTACTATTTCTTTTTTTATTTTAAGATTTTGTTTATTTATTTGACAGAGAGATAGAGAGAACAAGTAGGCAGAGTGGGATGCAGAGGGAGAGGGAGAAGCAGGCTTCACTGAGCAGGGAGCCTGATGTGGGGCTCGATCCCAGGACCCTGGGATCATGACCTGAGCCGAAGGCAGCTGCTTAACCAACTGAGCCACCGAGGCGCCCCTCTTTTTTTTTTATGATTTTATTTATTTATTTGACAGAGACAGACACCTTGAGAGAGGGAACACAAGCAGGGGGAGTGGGAAAGGGAGAAGCAGCCTTCCACGGAGCAGGGACCCCGATGCGGGACTCGATCCCAGAACCCTGGGATCATGGCCTGAGCTGAAGGCAGACGTTTAACGACTGAGCCACCCAGGTGCCCCTCGTGTGTACTATTTCTTGAATAAATTCTCCCGAATGTGGGATATATGGGTGCTTTTTTATCTTAGCACCTTTACGGATAAAGATTTTTTCCTTACTTCCTTATTTGAATATTGAAGTTTTTAAGTGGGGAGGAAGAGTTAGATATATGTGATCAAGTAACATTCTTTTCCAGGAATTTGTCATTAGTTTCTTGGCTTCTCTTACATTGCTGTCATGATTTTAATTTTCATCCTCTGATTGTAAATAAAACAAACAAGAAACAAAAACCTGAGTCCCTTTCTTTGATGCCTAACTGTTGATTCTGTCCTTGGACCTTTACCCACTATGTATGTTCTCTACTACTCCTATCCTTCAGCCGTGGATTCAGCTCTCAATTTTAGGTTGATGGCTAATTCTCATCTTTCTTCGTACCTCTAACTGCATAGTGGACATTTCCATCTAGAAGTTGTATAGAAATTTCAAATTTTGCACATTCCAATTTTCATACCTCTCCTCATTCCTCCTGCCTTATTTCTCTTCCTTCTCCACTTTCTCCATGTTCCCTTTCTCACTAGGTCACACAGTCACTTGGACAGGTTCTGAGACAGTTACCTGTGAGTCATGTCTAACTCTTTCAATTCTGTCACAGACCAGTACAAATCAGTGACCACTATGTTCAGTTTCCTGCATAATAGATGATGAATGCTTAAGTTGATTATTAACTCAATAATCGACATCTTACAGGATATTTCCACTATGGTTTGTTTTCCCTCACGGTGTAATATAAGATTAGGTAAATATGAAGACTTGATACACAGTTTGTAGTGAACTCTGATCCCTGAGTTCATGATGGACATGAGTTCTTACATATTTTGACCACTCCATTGAAGTTTGATGAGTTCATATTAATTAGGATTGGTTTTTACAGGAAACAGTGACATTTAAGGATGTTGCTGTGGACCTCACCCAGGAGGAATGGCAGCAAATGAAACCTGCTCAGAGGAACTTGTACCGGGATGTGATGCTAGAGAACTACAGCAACCTAGTCACAGTGGGTAAGGGTAGCTTTGCAATTTTTCATGGAATTCCTTTCCATTTTTGAAGCGTATGAAGACTTTAACTTGCCAGGTGAATTTAGTCTGCCTTGTCTTTACATGATTGTATGTACTCATCTTCAGGGTAAAGTCTGATTACTTTGTCTCACTTTAGAAATTCCTTTGTCCTCATCCTTCAAAGGCCCTCAAGCTCCTAAGACTCAGCCCCAGGTGTGGATGGTGGTCTCCAGCATTAACATGCAAGTGCTTTGCTGTTTCCTGTAATAGGTTATCAAGTCACCAAACCAGATGTGATCTTCAAGTTGGAGCAGGAAGAGGAGCCATGGGTGGTAGAGGAAGAAATGCTTGGGAGGCACTGTCCAGGTGAATAAGTAAAGAGGCAGCTCTGAATGAGAAAGCCACATGACAGTTGTTAATGTGGTTGACACCATTTTACATTTTCCAAGATTTTCTTAAAAGCCCTAGTGTTCCAGGGTGACAAGCAGTATGAATGGATTGGATTCCTGTGACATTTCCAGATACTATTTTCTTCCTGTACTGGAGCTATCCTCCTTTTCCAAATTTTAGAGGGCTGGTAGTTCCATCGGATTTCAGGATGCCAACCTTCTTGAATTCATTTATTGCCTCAGTTTCAGGATTATTGTCCCTCTCTATGATCTTTAAGCTCTCTTTTTCCTTAGTGTTTCCCTTAGTTTTAATTCCTTATGTATTCAGCATTTCATAGATGTGTAGTATTTTAAAAGTATATTTGTTTCACACTTAGATTCCTTTCAATTTCTTTCCATTTTGAAAAGCTATAGACATATATTCTCTAACAGTATTCACAATTCCGATTTTAGTTCACAACCTTCACAAGCCCATGTAGCTTTAAGTTTCTGCCTTAGAAATCGGTGCCTTACTCCTACTTATTCCCACCTTCCGTTATGTTAATTTTTTAAAAATGTAAATATGCATACTTCAGAGCACCTGGGTCCATTAAGCATCCAGTTGTTCTTAATTTTGGCTCTGGTCGTGATCTGAGTCATGAGATCGAGCCCTAGGTTGGGCTCCATGCTGGGTGTGCAGACTGCTTGGGATTTTCTCTCTCCCTCTCCCTCTGTTCCTCCCCCACCCACTTGCTCTCTCCAAAATATATATATATTGCTCTCTCAAAAGAAAAATGTATATATACACTTGGTTAAAGAACATAAACAATCCAAAAGATACATTAAAAAGTAAGTCTCCCTCTTATCCTTGACACTGAGTCCCTTTCTTTCCCAGTTGCATCCATTCTTTCTCAGGGTTGTGCTGGCTCTTCTTGATTGTTATTTTACCATATGAATGTTAGATACAACTCTCTATTTCCAGAGAAAAACCTATTGGACTTTTTATTGGGAATGTATTAGGTATATAAATTAACTTTTAGAGATATGACATCTTTAGAATGTTGAGATTTTCTATTAAAGAACATGCCCTGTCTTTGTTCACATCTACTTTGTATCCTTCATAAATGCTTTCCAAGTTTTCCCTTTATAGCTTTTGTATATTTCTTAAGTTTATACCAAAGTATTAGATAAGAGAAAAAAATCAGTACTGTACTTTCTGTCTGTCCTTTCAGCACTGTGCTTTCTGTCATTGGAAAGGAATCTATAAACTCATCTTTAAGATAAAATTGTATCCCTGAAAAACACAAGAGAATCAACTGAAGAAGTATAACAAACAGTAAAAGAATCCAGTGAGATGGTAGGATATCAAATTAACAAATAAAAATCAATAGCTTTCATATATACTTCAACAACCAAGTAGAAGGTATGAAGGAAAGAAAACCACATTTATATTTCTAGCAATAAAGATAAAATACTATTTTGGGCATGAGCATGTAACAGTATACAAAACAAAGTCCTGTCCTCATGGAACTTATAATTTATTGGGAACTAGGTCCTTGAGTTTTTGCCCATAAGAAAATATCTTTTTTTCTTACCCTTTATTATTTGGCTGTGTATAAAATTCTTGGGTCATACTTTTTTTCCTAGTTTTTTTGTTTGTTTCTTTGTTTATTTGTTTGTTCTGTAGACAGTTCTCTGAAGACTTTAAATAATCCTCTACTATCTCCTGGCTTTGAATATTGCTTGGAGACCTCTGAAGTCCGATTGGTTCCCCTCATAGGTGACTTGATTTGTTTGCCTTGGATGCCCATAGGTTTCTTTTTTTTTTTTTTTAAGATTGTATTTATTTATTAGAGAGAGACACAGCAAGAGAGGGAACACAAGCAGGGGGAGTGGGAGAGGAAGAAGCAGGCTTCCCACCGAGCAGGGAGCCCGATGCGGGGCTCGATCCCAGGATCCTGGGATCCTGACCTGAGCCAAAGGCAGACGCTCAACGACTGAGCCTTCCAGGTGCCCCAGGTTTCTTTTTTTTTTAAAAGCTTTAGAACTTTTGAGGCCTATTAATCAATCACTGTCAGTTTTTCATTTCAACTTGTATATTCATGTTTTTTGGTTCTAATTAGCATTATCGCATATTGCTGCTGCAGATTCCTTTTACTATCACCATTACTCATCTTTAAGTGAGGTTATTTCTTGCTGGACCAATTATTTACAGAAGAGTGTCGAAGAGTGTCCGGAAAAATGCTCTGAGTGAATGGGAAACCCTTATCACTCATAACAACTTCCTTTATCATTCAGGGTTTTGTATTGAGAGTTGGTTTGCCCTTTACTTCTTCCAGATCAGAGATTATCAGTTGCATGCTTCCTCTAGCGTACGGTATCCCTTCTTTTTTTTTTTTTTTTTAAGATTTCATTTATTTATTTGAGAGAGAGAATGAGAGATAGAGAGCACGAGAGGGAAGAGGGTCAGAGGGAGAAGCAGACTCCCCGCTGAGCAGGGAGCCCGATGCGGGACTCGATCCCGGGACTCCAGGATCATGACCTGAGCCTAAGGCAGTCGCTCAACCAACTGAGCCACCCAGGCACCCTGCAGTATCCCTTCTACTCTCCTATGTCCACAGACTGCTTATATAAGAATAATAGCTGTTTGCATCTTCTTATTTAGTCCTGTCTTCCCTACCATTTGATAGGGCCAGATGAAGACCATTATGTTCCTGCCACCAGTTTCAACACATCTGGATCACACTGTTGCAAAAAATAACTAGTTCATTCTGCGCACAGTGTTCCTTCTATTCAGAGGAACTCTGTTCACTGTGCTTTCTGTCTGAGATAAGAAAGAACAGCCACTATCTCCAAGTTTCTTTCCTACCTAGTCCAGTCTCTCCTCTGGTCTTTCTTTATTTGCTGGAATTGGAGTTTAGCTCCCTTTTAGTTTCACTGAAGATGTATTTTCTTTTTGTTTTCTTCTTCACTTTTACAGAAAGAAGACAGGACACAGAGATGTTTAATTTGACCGTTTTGAAACAGGAAGTCCTCTGTGCTATATTTGATCCTATGGATCACCCTTTTTGGAAATGTCTTTCCTTTTGCTCTTTTCTAAAAGATTTTGATATCCCTCAGTTCCTGTTTATTGTTTATTTCCTGTTCCTTTAGGAAATGTCTTATATATGACTTTTTCTTTCAGCCCTCACTGGGCATTATCCAGAGCCATTCTAAATTACATATAGATTCTTTTTCCTTTATGTACCTTCATGACATAGGTGTGTTCATGCCTTTAAATCAGTATTTAACTACAGAAATGGCAACATTTAATGTCTCCAATACTCTGAAACTCTTCACATCTTTGCCTTTAATTATGAGGGTTCTTACCTATTGTGGTTCTGTTATTTAACTTGGAGTTTGATTTCTCGTAAACAGTCCCCAGCACTTCTAGCCATTATAGATCTACCCTCATCTTTGAGCTAACTTTCTAGTCTATGTCTACCAGAGTGATATGAAGTCTTAAAACATACTGCTTATATATGTTTTCATACTTGATTTCTTTTTTTTTAAAGATTTTATTTATTTATTCATGAGACAGAGAGAGAGAGAGAGAGGCAGAGGGAGAAGCAGGTTCCCAAGGAGCAGGGAGCCTGATGCGGGACTCGATCCCAGGACCCTGGGATCATGACCGGAGCCGAAGGCAGATGCTTAACCATCTGAGCCACCCAGGCGCCCTTTATACTTGATTTCTGAGGCTTAATCCACCAAAAGAAAGACTGTCTTATTCTTCATTTAATGATTCATGAATTGATTGGTGTAGAGCTATATTGGGAGAGATTCTTCTTATTGTTTTTGTTGTTTTAAAATATTTATTTGGGGTGTCTAGGTGGCTCAGTTGGTTGAGTGTCCGACTCAATTTCAGCTCAGGTCATGATCTCAGGGTCATGAGATGGAGCCCCGCATTGAGCCCCTTGGGCTCTGCACTGGGCGTGGAGCCCGCTTAACATTCTCTCTCTCTCCCTCTCCTCCTCCACCCCCACCCGCACATGCGACTCTCTCTCTCTAAAAAAAAATAACAAATAAAAATGAGAAAAACAATATTAAAAAAAGCAAAACATAAAAGTTTTGAGAGGAAAATTAGCATGACATGTTCATGGGGTAAAATTTGAAGCATAGCTTGATTGGAAGAGGGGAGACCTTAAAGGATTAGTGAAATAGAGAATGGGTTATCTAGCGTAGAGTCAGAGAAGTCTGAACTTTGCCAACCTTCATGCCCTTTTTTGTATTTTTAAAACCTTGTTGGTAATTTAGTTCAGTTTTTTCCCTTTTTAATTTTTTAAGAGATTTTTTCCCTTTTTTAATCACTGAACTATAGCTATGGTTTTGCTTTACGCATGGTGGCAGTCAGGTTACAGCAGTAGTTTATAGGCAGGGACTTAGAAGATAACTGAATATAAAGATTAAAAAATGTCTAATTATCTGAATTTTAAGTTACCCACAGTTGAACCTAGAGAAACCATTATAGAGCTAATAATGTACAAAAAATATTATTTTGAGCAACAGTATGTCCGCCATGAAGAAAGAACAAAAGCAAAACACAACAGGATTTGCTGGTAAGGACAGTTTCAGCATGGAAAAATGAACATAGGATAAAATGATAGTACCTGCTATTAGAACAATGCAGTGAATCAGATCTTGAGCAAAGATGACTTGCCTTGTGATCTTTTCATTGGATACTTATATGCCTTGTTCTTTAAGCACCTAAGAGAATGACTTGCAATTAGATGGAAAGTTGAAGCTGTCGCCATTGTTATTACCAATTTGGGGCTGGATTTAGTTTGGACAGCCTAAACTTCAAGTGTTTTTATACAAAACAAGGGAATTAAAACTTATGAAAATTGCTTTTCATCTGCAGAATAGACAAGAGCTAAACTTCCTAGGATCATAGAGCAGTTAATCTAGGCAAAAGTAATAAGAACTTGGGTTATAATTTGCTTCTGTAACCTAATGCTACTG